AAAAAAAAAAAAAAAGTATGTAACAAAAATATTTGTACGCCCTTAATATTTTGAAATTTTAAAAAAGGCAATACAATTTAGGGTGGTCAAAGATACATATTTAATAAGCTGTAAGAGGAGTCATGAATATTCATGAAGGGAAATCATAAGCCTGTGATTGTGCTTTCTCTCTCCCATCCTGTCATGGCTAGGAACTCAGTTTTAAGGTGTTTCTGGGGTCCTCTTGGCTGAGAAGGGCCCATTCAGTTAGCAGAGAGCTTAGGATTTTATTTTTAGTTCATAATCAAGAGACTAGAATGATTCTGGTCCTGATTCTAATTTTGTGATCCTGGGCAACGCATTTAATCTTTGGGAGTTTCAGTCTACTCATCTGTAGATTTAGGGGCTCAGTAAAATGATGTGTAAGATTCTCTACTTCTAAGTGTTCTTGATCAATAAAGGTGGAATAATCAGAGGAAGAGAGTCCTCAAACTGAATGAGGATAATATTCATTCCCATGGCAAGACTGAGGGAGGGGCAGAATGGGTAGTCGTCAACTGGCCTACCACTGAGCATTTTGCTCATGGGACTGGCTCTAAATAGGTAGCATGCATATAAGATTCTACTTCTACCTAGTTAAGATATTTTGTAATTTCAGCCTCCAGAGTTTTGTCCAGGAACAAAAATAAAGGTGCATAAAGTTTATCTTTTAATGAGTCCTCTAACCTTGGAAATCAATGTTCCTCTCTTATCTACTAGAAGAGCTAATTCATATGAAGTATGTAAGAAATTTAAATTGTAACCACTCCTGAGATAATTTGGGTTTTTGTTAATGTAGCAATACAAAGGCCAATTCTTTAAAAAAAGGAAGCAATAATTATTGCTAGAATTTCAGGCAATGTCAGCGAGAGTTTAAGACTGGAGAAGTCCTGCTTCCTCCACAAACAGCAGCAACAGTGATGTGATGATGAAGCTAGGTTGGAGTACCACACTGAAAGAATATGGAACTATCAGCAATTTATGATAGGGAATTCCACATTTCTTCAGTATAATACTGTTACCCAGCTTGATTGTGAAGTTATAGCATCCACCGATGATCCTTGTCTGAATCAGGTATTAAATTGGAGGCTGCAAGATGGTGATCTGTCTGATTCTATCATTCCTTCCATAATGAATAGATTCCTCCCTATTCATTCATTCTTGAGAAATGCTATGGACTTGTGGGTTTCTTTTTTCATTAAATGCTTTATTGTCAATTACCATTGTTATTCTTTCTGATCTTTAAATTGTTCCAAATCTTGCCAGTGGGCGACCTTTCATGGTGGCTCATGTATGCTTTTGACACAACCTCACTAGTTTTTGTATGACTTCACTGCTTTCTGGCACAACAGGACGTTCCATGTTCACTACTATATTACCATCTCCAGATCTGGAGTTGTGGTTCCTTTTAGTGGAGAAAGCATGTAGAAACTAAGATATGAAACACTGATATTGCTGACTGAATTCTATACTCCAGGGGTTTTCTCTTGGCTTCTATTATTTTATATTCGTGTCTCCTTTCCCCTACAGTGAAAACTGTGTAACATCAATATACCCACCTACTTGCTCGATATTACAGTATAACAAAACAATGTCAGATTTCCAGTATAAATTTTACCACTAATGATAAGCCCACCAAGTAAAGTTTAAGATTTCTTTACAGTTCTTTTTGTCCTATGACTATATACAGTCATGCATTGCTTAACAACAAGGATATGTTCTCAGAAATGCATCATTAGGCGATTTCATCATTGGGCAAACATCACAGAGTATACTTACACAAACCTAAATGGTAATGCCTACTACATACCTAGACTATATGGTCTAGCCTGTTGCTCCTAGGCTACAAACCTGTATAGCATGTTACTGTACTGAACACTGTAGGAAACTGTAACAACATGGTAAGTATTTGTGTACCTAAACATAGAAAAGGTACAGTAAAAATACCATATAAGAGACAAAAAATGATGCACTGCCATGAATGGAGCTTGTAGGACTGGAAGTTGCTCTGGGGGAGTCAGTGAGTGAGTGGTGAGTGAATGTGAAGGCCCAGCACATTACCGTACACTAGTGTAGATCTTATAAATGCTGTACACTTAGACTGCACTAAGTATCTTTAAAAGTTTTTCTTTTTTCAATAACACATTAACCTTACTTTGCTGTAACATTTTTACTTTATAAATTCTTTAATTTTTTTAACATTTTAACTCTTTTGTAATAACACTTAACTTAAAACACACATTGTACAGTAGTACAAAAATACTTATATCCTATTCTATGAGCTTTTTTCTATTTCTCAAATTTTTTATTTTGTACTTTTTTAACTTTTTTGTTAAAAACTAAGACACAAACACACACACATTAGCTTAGGTCTATCTTGTCTCACTGGAAGTTCTTCAAGAGCAATAGCACACATGGAGCTGTCATATCCTATGATAACAATACCTTTTGGAATACCTCTTGATGGACCTGCCTGAGGTTGCTTTACAGTTAACATTTTTTTATAAGTAGAAGGTATACACTCTAAAATAATGATAAAAAGTATAGTATAGCAAACACTAAGCCAGTAATATGGTCATTTATTATTATTATCAAGTATTATGTAATGTACGTAATTATATATGTTATACTTTTATACAACTGGCAGCACAGAAGGTTTGTTTACACCAGTATCACCACAAACATGTGGTGATGAATTGTGCTACAATGTTACAATGGCTACAGACAGTCACTAGGCAGTAGGAATTTTTCAGCTCAATTACAATCTTATGGGACCACCATTGTATATGTGGTCTGTGGTTGACTGAAATGTCATTATGCAATGCATGACTATATTCTAGTATGAATGTACACTTAGAATACCATGTTCAAATTTTACTAAAATAATTATTTTCCCTATGTGGTTATGCTATCAATTTTTTATTGAGTTAGCCACAGTTGTTTCTGCTTGTTTTCAAGTTGAAACAATTGAACTAATACCATATTTTAATCCAACAGAAGCCTGAAAAATGAAGCCTAAAATGAAGTATTCAACCAAGAAAATTTCCCTAGCAAAGCTGAACAGCACAGCAAACAAAGCCTTGGTAAAATCTTGCAAGCTGACAAGTAAGCATTTCTGAATATTTTTCTGTACTATTTTCTATCTATTTATCTGTTATCAAATCTTTATTATTCCAATGTTCATATAGGCTATCTTATCAAAAGCTACTAAGAATACAAGAACTGATTTCAAAAGAGATGTCTCATAAAGGTATGATACAGCCGAAGCCTTTGGTTTTGAACAGACTATATTTAGCCAACTTTTGTTTATTTGATACATCATAGGACAAGACTAGCTCAGATAATTTAACTCTGTGAATAGTGATAAACTTAATTATACCCTTTTACATCAACCATTTCTCTCCCCCCACATCTCCTGCCACCAAATCCCCCAAACCTTTTTCCCTAATTAACTAACAAAATTTTAAACTGATCTACTTTCATTCAACAAATATTTATTAAGACCTTTGGTGTACCAAGCATGTGGTTGTGACTTGTGACTATTGATAAAGGAGAGAATAATAAGTGAAGATATTTGAATAATCTAGGGCTCAAATAAAGCAGAACCAACAAATGATGCTCAAGTCTATCTAGTTGCAAATTAAGAGTTTGAAATACGATAAAAGCTAAATAAGGTCAGGTAACAGCTATAGTTCCGATATTAAAGGGCTGTCTTCCTCTTTGATCCTTAAAATTATCTATCCTGGGAAGTAATCTTGAAAATGCATACTCCAAATTCATATGGGAACAGTAGTGCAAAAGAATTAACAGAGCCATGGTGCACTGGAGAGAAGATGTAGGAGAAGGAGTGGTGGTGAGTACTGGCATACCCTTGTCTTTCACGCTCCTTTCCATTTCTCTGAACATCTTTAACGCGAGAAGAGAAAGGAGTGTTAAAGAATATCATTTCTATCCCATTCTGTCCTCCCTGAGGCTCTGGCACACCACACTGCTCTTTCATAACCAGAGAAAACACTAATTTGACTGTGGTTTCTCAATGGCCAGGAAATCATAGTTAAATTAGTCCTTTTATTAGCAGCTGAGTCAAAATGTTCTCTGCAGAAACAGTGACTCAGTGGAAGTGACCCCACATCCCCAAATTCCCTCTAATAAATACATTGTCTTTGTACCCCAGGAAATGTGGGCTCTTTATAGATGCTGGAATGAGGGAGTAGCCCAGAGTTTATGCCAGAGCTGCTGGTGTTAAAGCATAAGTAACCCCTTCCTTAAGAGTGCAGTGGCCCAGACTACTTATCTACATCATTTAAAGGATAGTGATAATCTCCAAATAATTTATATGGCTTTAGAATCCATCACATTATTTTTATTATCCCTTAACAGATCTTCCTTTCCAATAATATTGGCTCGGTTTAATACTAGCAGTCCCTGACAGGGGCGGCCTTGCAAAAATAACAGGAAAATACCTAATCCCACAATTTCCCCAGTAACGGTTACAGATCAATTCTGTGAGTTCTCTCCCTAACAGGCACTCTGCAGGAGTTCTGTTTTGCACAACTTCTCAAAAGAGCTGCGTGAACGGAAAAGAGATGTAAATCTCTCTCTTTCAAAATTGTTTTTTGAGAATCTGCTTTTTACAGCCTAAAGAGATCCTGAGTGAACAGCAGGGTGTAAGCTCCAAGCCTCAACCATAGATCAAGGAGAGAGTCACATCCCCTGTGATAATCCCTTCTCCAAATAAAGGCAGGAGGGCCAACTCTTGGACTTCGACATCCTTGCAGTTTTTGTTGTCCGCCTGCTGCCACTAAGAAAGAAAGGAGTGGATGCAGCAGTTTCTCAACTATACCTTGCCATTTTTACAACCCCCTTTAAAAAGCCCCAATGACTAGTTTTTGGGGCCAGCATATTCTTCCTCTTTCTACCTCCATGCTGGTCCTTTTCCCCACCCCCACCAGGGAAAAGGACCATCCTTTTTCTTTCTATCCTAATCTTAGAAATCTTTCTCAAAACCCGAGTGCACGGCCGGGTTCAGTGGCTCACACCTGTAATCCTAGCACTCTGGGGGGCCAAGGCAGGAGGATTGCTTGAGCTCAGAAGTTCAAGACCAGCCTGAGCAAGAGCGAGACCCCGTCTCTACTATAAATAGAAAGAAATTAGCCAAAACAACTAAAAATAGAAAAAATTAGCTGGGCACGGTGGCACGTTCCTGTAGTCCCAGCTACTTGGGAGGCTGAGGCAGGAGGATCGCTTGAGCCCAGGAGTTTGAGGTTGCTGTGAGCTAGGCTGACGCCATGGCACTCTAGCCAGGGCAAGAATGGAGGGAGACTCTGTCTCAAAAAAAAAAAAAAAAAAAAACCCGAGTGCACCAGCATCTCTACCCTAACATCTGGTGGCCCGAACTGGGTCTTTTCTCTGCCTCCACATGGGGAGAAGTTACTTTTCTCCTCTGTGAGGGAACTATTTCATCCTCTCATTCTTCTACCTCCGGACATGGAGCTGCTTCAGTCTTGAAACTGCTTCCTTCTCTGTGATTCCTAGGACATCCCTCTCGGTGCCTTCAAACCATTGAGAATTCGGTGAGTCTCCTGGTCTCTGGGAATGGTCATATACACAAAGTGGAGAGTGGTAGCTTTTCGATTTGGTTTGGTTTGTCTTAATCAAGGAAAAAACCCGGCGCTGGGTCTACCACTTGGGAGGGTGGCAAGGAGGGATGCTTCCTAACCACTCTTTCCCAAGGCGGGCACTGCCCCATCAGTCATCGCCCAGACCCAGGGACACCTGGCAACGGGAAAAACTTCAAGGTCGCAATCTGAGTCAGAGGCTGGGAATACACATTCTCTGGCCCAGATCACTAGAGGCTTTGGTCTGACTCAGATTTTGGGGGACGCCCTCTCAGGCGTCTGGCAACATGTGACAATCCCTAAAACATCCTTTTCTTTCTCCTAGTTGTCATGGGCAACAACCAATCGGCTCCACCTAAGGACTTCCCATTGGGCTGTCTTCTTAAGAATTTGAAAACTTTGGAACTCACTGACCTCCAACCTAAACACTTAGTCTTCTGTTGTAATACATCCTGGCCACAATATAAGTTAGGTGACCCGGAGGTCTGGCCCAAGAATGGATCTCTAAATCATAACATCATCCTCCAACTTGATCCTATTGTTGCCAACATGGTAAATGGTCTGAAGTTCCCTATGTACAGGCCTTCTTTGAACTCACTAAATATCCCATTCTCCATTCTACTTGTCACATGTTACTTCTACTTCCCCACTCTCTTCTTCTTCTGACTTAGGTGACATTCCTCTCTCAGCTCCCCTACTCTCCCTCCTTACCAGCATTCTCCTTCGGCACCACTGCCTCCCCCTTTAACTCCACTGCCTTCACTGCCCTCTACTTCTCCCCCTCCTTCTTCTCCACCTCCACCCCTCTCGCCTGGCCACCTGCTCTGGCTGCCCAAACCCCTCCCCACCTGTGCTCCAGCTCCCCTCTGGGAAGTTGCTGGTGCTGAAGTCATTCTCAGAGTCCATGTCTCTTTTTCTATGTCTCATCTCTCTCAAATAGAGGTCAAACTGAACAGTTTCTTGGCTGATCCCTCAAAGTTCTCTAAGGAATTTGAATACCTCACTCTTTCCTATGACCTGTCATGGAGAGATGTCCATGCAATTTGCGCCGCTTGTACTGCTACTGAAGAAAGAGCTCACATTTGGTCTAAGGCTAGGAAGTACGCAGATAATCTTAATTGAAGGCAGCGTGAAGCTTACATGGTGGGCTCCACAGTGGTCCCAGAACAGGACCCAAATTGGGATTACCAACAGGAGTCTCCTCATGGGGAGCAGTGAGACCATATGCTTTCCTGTCTCCTAGAGGGTATGAAGAGGGCCACTGCCAAACCTGTAAACTATGATAGAGTTAAAGAAATTACTCACTACCAGGATGAACACCCAGCTCTTTTCCTTCCACAAGTATCCAAGGCATATTGCCTCTTTACTAATTTAGATCTTAATACCAGGGAGGGAAAAACTATCTTAGCCATGCACTTCATCTCCCAATCAGCCTCCGAAATTCGGGGTAAACTCCAAAAGCTTGAGAAGGGGCCTCATACCCCATAAGTGGAACTTTTAGACCTGGCCTTCAAGGTCTTTAATAACTGAGATGAGGAAAGGAGAGAGGAAAAAAGGCAAAGGGACCAGCCCTAGAGCAGAAGGAAGCTTTCAAATGGTGGCTACCACTGTGGGAGAAATTTTTCGGAGACAGAGTGGATACCCTGGAGGCTCAGATAAGAAGACACTAGGATGACAGCCTGCTGCGGGAACTGCACCCTGATTTACCTGCAACCAGCTAGGGCATTGGAGAAAGGAGTGCCCCAGGAAGCAGGTTTCCACCAGGACTGTGCCCCAACTGTGAAAAGGAAGGGCACAGAAAGAGTGAGCATCCCTTTCTTAAGATGGGAGATTACACTTGCCCTGCAGATCCAGCGAACCCCCCTGTGCAGGCCCCCTCCATGCCCACAGACCTTCTGGGACTCCTTCAGTCATACTGATGAGCCCTGGCTCTGGATTTGGCTCCATTTCACTATATCAAAATGGCCAAGCCTAGAGTAACTCTCTCTGTAGCAGGTAAGCAAATTAAATTTTTACTGGACACAAGGGCCACTTACTCTGCTCTTCCCAAATTTCCAGGACCCCTATTTTCCTCTCCTATCTCCATCATCTGAGTGGAATGTAAAATACAAACCCCTCTGCATACGTCACCACTCTGTTGCTCACTGAGAGATCAAGTTTTTACACACTCCTTTCTGGTGCTCCCCAATTGCCCCACTCCACTGTTGGGAAGAGATATGATGGTATTACGCACCCAACTCCTTTTGACTTCTCTGGTTCCCTTCCCTGAGGTTTTAGGAAAAGCATTATCAGACCCTCCTCAGAGCCTCCCTATCTCTGTTCCTATTGAGGTATCTCAAAAGGTGCCCCCTGAGGTGTGCGACACCAGCACCTCAGGAAAGGCACAACATATACACCCCATTTCTATCTTCCTCAAAGACCCCACTCACTTACCCTGTAGCACTCAATACCCTCTTAAGCTAGATGACCTCAGGGGACTCAAGCGCC